GGAAGGGAAAGGGAAAATTTCTGGTTTTGGACAGCAACCATGAGAATACCCTGCTTTTTTTAACCTTAGCTTCTTTCATACCTTCTTTTAACCATTTCCTATCTAGAATTGGTAATGCGCAGTTCACTTTCGGTAGAAGAAGAATTGGATCCAGTATAATTTTGTTCAGTTCTGTTTATTAATTAGGGAGGAAAAACATCCTGTGTCCTTGAAAGCAAAAGGAATCAAGCAGCAGAAGAGGCAGGCTTTGCTTACAAATAAAATCCCGTCTTCAGCTAACAATCTGGACAAAGGTTCTCTTTTTAAATTATTTTTAACACTGCCAGGCTATTGGTGCTTCTGTGGCTGCAGTGATCCCTTTCTTACTGTCCTGTCTCAGTTTCTGTTTTTTCTGCCCCGCTTCACAGAACAATAAACGTTTACCAAATTGAACTCAGTGAAACCTCTTTACCTGCATATGCTTGCACATTGGAAAATAGCTTCTACTATTTTGGTTACCTGATCCATAAAAGATCCCTTTTCTTGCCAGTTTATTAACGTTTACCTAAATATATTAAAACTATTTACTCCTCAAAATGGCTAATTAATATTCAGATGTAGCCAAATGATAGCAGCATGCAATCTTGATTAAAGGCACCTAGCATGACTTGGCCTATGAAAGTATTACAATTTTCATGCACAGAATTTCAACTCTGATGTGCAGAGCTAAAAACAACAGTGAATCACATAGCACCACAGTTCCTACAGCGACAGAGAGTTTGAATGTAAAAAACTGAACATAGCTTAGAGGCAGAAAGAAAAGTAACTGCTTAAGAAAAGACTGAAGAAATTGACAGATTCTCAACTAATGTCAATCAGTATATCTTTGGTGAAGGTGATGAACTTCCTTAATGTAATGGAGCTAAAAAAGCTGCCCAAAGCAAGTACTAGAAACAGGGATGGTCACAAAAGTACCAGGCAGAGGGGAAAATGTAAATTAATGAAAATTATTTTCACTTTGCATTATCTAACAAAAGAAAAAATACTTTATATAATTTTCTTATTATTAATCAGATGAACAGAACATTCCAATATTCTACTTATAAAGGATATAGCCCCACTCTCACAAATACTGCTGACAGTCTCTTCTTGTGATCCGCCAGACTTCCAAGTTTCCTCAAACCTGTAACAATAATCCTGAAAAGCATAAAGTGGCTGGGCTGTGGCAACCACTTCTAAAGTGTGAGAAACAAAGAGGAAAGCATCCCTTTCCAAAGGGAGAGCAGCTGGACTAAGAGAAGCTAAGCATATACAGGTTTTGTGGTGGGATAAGGATTTTTTGTTAATCCTTTGGTATAGCTCCAGCTTTGTAGATGCTTTTTCTACAGTATTGTTTAGCAATAGGTCAGATCTCCTGTAGAGTATCCACAAACTTCCTGCATCTTACCTTGTCTCCTCAAAATCAGAGTGCCTTTTTTGTCATTTTAGAGTCTTATATTTAAATGCCCTTTTCTCCTGCTTCAAAAAATTCTCTTTCTTTTCAATCCAAAACCTTTGAAGAACTCCTAAGTCTTCCCCTTTGTCTTAAATTGCAGTGCAAGATGTAACCAAAGGTATGTATTCTATTACCAGCTGTTAAAACCAGCTGGGGCAGTGTTCTTTATCTCTTCCACAACCCATCCTCCCTCCAGGGGAATATCTTCTGTTAATGGGCCAGAGTCTCAGTGCATGACTGATAAAATTACATCATCCCATTGGGAGATGCTCCACCCAGGGGGAGGAGCCAAGCATTCCTACCTGGATATAATCTTTATTATTTATTTACTTGGCACACCACAGGCAGCCTTTCTCCACTGGATTCCCAGAGGAAGACCAGACCCATCTATATCACCACTGATCCTTCAAAGGAAAACTACAGGATCCCTTCTACAGGATCATTGCTTCAACAGAACCACATCTGTCTCTCCAGGAGGACTGCAGCCACCATTTAATCAGACTGCTACCAACACCCTGACCAGCAGGGGCCAATTGTATTCTGACTCTGTCAGTGTTTTTTGTGCTATTGCATTTTATTTTAATTTTTCTAGTAAAGAACTGTTATTCCTATTCCCACATCTTTGGCTGAGAGCCCCTTAATTTCAAAATTATAATGATTCGGAAGTAGGGGTTTAGATTTTTTCCATTTCAAAGGAGGCTCCTGCCTTCCTTAGCAGACACCTATCTTTTCAAACCAAGACACACTTTTTTTCCCTCTGTGAGACCCTCTGGAACTGGTATTCTTTTAATTCCTGTTCCTTCTTCCTCTTTAAGGACTTCCCACTTTATCTGGCACCACCATTAAAGGCGATGGCTCTCCATCACCGACAAGTATGTGGTACAGACCTAGCAGCAAACAGCCTGTTCCACATTAAAAACATGACATTTCAATAACATTGTCCAAAATTCATCAGATGAGTAGAACATGCAGGCCACCTCGTTTGTCTGGGATCAAACAGAGTTTAAATGTCATTTAAAAGAGCTATTTTATGGATTTTTTCCGAACATAGACTGAGCCTGTTTTCACCTCACAAAGAGCAGCTGACCAACCAAGACAATTTGCACAGATATTTAAGTAAGACTTGGGTAATTATGATTATGATTTCTTCCTTTTTTTCCCCCACAAAAAAAAATAATAAATCCACAGAAACAAAAGCTTTGGAAATCCCCACTGCCCTGCTGGACATGGAAAGCAAATGCTAAAGACATTTCAGTCAAAATAGTTTTGTAGTGTTTAGTAATTATATGTGTAGACAGCAATACATTCAGCACTGGGTTACAGCAGAGACATTTCTATCTCAAAAAGCCAAGAACTCTGAAATCTCTGGTAAAAATTATAGACAACAGAAAATATTTTTTTATCTGGAACAAATATTCAGAGATATGAACCACAGAAATCAAATATATAAGGTTAGCGTACCAATTTGTCTGCATTACTTTGGAAATGTGGTGAATATTAATAAAAATTACCAAGAAGATATCCCATCTTCTACCCATTAGGGTGATCAAGAAAAAAGATAGTTGACTGTGCCTGTACTGAATAAAACTGGAAGATACTTTTAACTGTAGAAACTATAGAAATCACTTTAGAACTGATCCTCTTAGAATAGCATTGAGCTTTACTTAGACATCAGCTCATACTTCTGCTGCCTGCCATGCTTTACTTTCCCCATTTCAATGTAATTTTTTCAAGGAAAACTTAATATTTAAAAAAAAATAATTTCTGAAAATGGAAACCTAAGTTTTAAATTATAAAATTTGACTTTTGGGTTAATTTGAGAGTTTTTCCTTAATGACATGAATCAGTACATTTTATGTCAATGTAGATTTGACGAGTTTGGTGGTTCTGTGGTCTCCAAAAACTAGAGGAGAGAATAATCAGGCCACCAGTTTTTAAAGACAAGGAAAAGTGTATTTTTCTTGCCTTTAAGGCAAGGGGAATCTGAGATACTCCTGTATGAGAACATGCATATAATTTAATAATCTAGAAAGGAACTAGCAGGTGCTCAGTTATACTGCAATTATTCTGCTTTACCACAGAGAATTCTGAGGTCTGTTAAAATGGAAAATAATTTGAATTTTTTCTTTTCTTATAAGTTGCCAACTTTTTTAACAAAGAGACAGACCAATAGCATATGCATTTACTGTGATCCATTCTGACCAGTGCTGGCTAATTAAGGTTTTAGCTAATTTATTTTTAAAACACGGCTTGAGTTAGAATCTGAAAACTCTTGTTAGGTAATACAAACAAGAACTGAAGACATGTTACAACTGAGAATGAAACAGCACTTCTAGTTCTCATCTTAGTGGAAGCTGTAGGTGTCACTGACTGCAGTTCATATCATGGTAGCAATTTTTACTTAAGGAAGACAACATCCTTTTAATGTGTGAAATAATCTGCTGGTGAACTCCAATGTTTGAAAAGGGCCACTAAAAATTAGAAGACTGAAGTAATAAGTGGTGGGCTTAGGTGGAAAACCTTAAAGAAAGGCTTTTTGGTCTGTAAATAATCTTTTCCAACTAATCAGTTTTGTTTCATTTGAAGAAATATCAAATAGCTATGTGGAATACTTTTCCCCATACCTTGAACTAACTGCCTCTTCTAAGACATCAACAGGGCAAGATTTGCCATTCCTTCTTAGCATTTTCCCAAAGGGTTAAGCAGAACTGCTAGAACTTGTATATGTAAATGTGTATATATGTATTATATGGGGCAGCTTGTGCAGCATGGCTACTCCCTGCTGTAGTTCAAGCCAGAATAATACTGAAGATGTGCTCATTGTTTACACCATCAGAGCACTGAATTATGTGTTGTCCTGTATGCTCCTTCAAAGATGAAATTTTGAAGAAATCCAATCAGGTGTGATGGTAGTAAGACCAGCCTGAGGGAATCCCATCCCTGTCCACCTGTTCCACCTCTCCAGGGGAAAAGAGGGTTGTGACTTCTGAAGCCAGCTTTGCACTGAAACCAGGGTGCCTTTTAATGACATGGTAAACACCACAGAACTCTAGAACATATATGGAATAGCATTCAGTATAAAAAATCTATCTTTTCATACTTTTATACGACTGGGAAAAGATAAATATGTCTACAGCAAAATTTCAGGATGAAGCCCACTATGCTATGGTGATCATCTCATTGTAAAGTGTCAAGAAAATAAATATGTTTAAAAATATGTGGTTGCCTCAACTTTTAAGAATATTCAAATCTATTTCATATTCCAGATACTTGGCTACCTGGTTGTATTCACAAAGCTCTTTCTTGAAAGTGAAAATATAGCACTATTTCCCCTGCCATGTTAAACTTTCTTAAAAAGCAAAGGGACACTGCTATTTAGATTGCAGGAACAGCAGGAAGAACATTTGCCTGTTTAAATCTTCCTTTCTGAAAACATGGCTTGTTTATTTACTTAAAATTTGTGAAAACACACTTAATAATTGGTTTTGTAAAAACAACAATAAAAGGAACAAACCAGAGTCATGAATTCAAATTACTACAACAAAAAGGCTTATATTCAGAGGCTAAAAACATGCTATGTTGTTAGCTGGTAAATCAGGATGGAATTCAGCTCTTCCAAAAATGGCAAGGTCACACACTGTCTGATCACATTCGTACTACATGAAGTTCTATTTCACTCAAAATCTTTGTCTTTTTAGTTGGTGTTGATCTAAGATGTTAGAAATGATTGCAGTCTACAGAAACAAGGTGGGGGGGAATCAGTTGTGAAACATGTCTGACTCTTGGAGATAATTCAAATGGAAAAAAAAATCCAGGTCATTGGCCTTTTTAAATAGACCCCCGGCAATATTTACTCCTCCATAAATAGCACAGTCACATGAAATAAAACTGTGTTCAGTAAAGCCTGCAAAACAAAAGAACAATTTACAGACTGAAAGGCAAACTGTGGCTCATGTGTTCGCTGGGGAGGATTAAGTGAGCTTGCTGCCCGGTCCGTGCTTAGTGACTGTGGTGTCAGTTCCGCTTCAAGGGGAGCAAGTCAGGTCACCCAAGGTGCTCCATCCTTCAGCAAAGGCCGGGAAACGCCAGGATCCTGCTCCAGACGGTGACTTGTGAGCTCCACTGCCTCTACCCGTGACTCAGAGCACATCTACATAAGGAAATGTCATGGGCATTACTGCACCGCTTTAATTCAACCACCACGGCTCTGGTGCTCTAGGAAGGGCAGCACATTTCCCTGAGGTAGACAAGTCCTAACATGGAAGCACAGCCTTCTGAAATACCAGTAACACCATTTAGTGCACCTGCTTGCAAAAATATATATTTTTGGATGATACAGACAAAAGGACAAATGAGTAAATTAGAATAAACATTATTTACATTTCCCTAAAGCTCATGTCAATCTCTCCTGTGTGCTTACCCACACTTAAGACTCTATTTCAAGTCTTACTTTTTAAATTTTTTCCTCAAAGATCCAGCTCTGGAAATCATGTTATTACATAAAAGCCACAGCTATCTCTTCTAAGTCTCTTGCAGCTCTGAAAACACTTGAAAACGTGAAACAACTGCCCACAAAAACTTTGTAACCCGTACAACAAATCAGTAGTATCCACAAGGGCATGTGACTTTATTTCATTCATTAACTGTGGAGTGGAAAGATTGATTTTAATTAAATCAATATTTGAGACTCTTCCTTACTAGTATCATTCTATGTACACTGGTTATGCAAAATGAGGTTAAACAATGCTGCTGAAAAGGTATTTGTGGGATCTGAGCCTGGTTTGAGGGCAGATTTGCAGGTGATGGGTGCCAGCCCAGTCACCAGTGGGCTGTGGAGAGCTGTCTGCTCGGTGGACTTGGCTTTGTTTCCAGTTGCTAAATCACAGCAGAGACACATGAAAATATAGAAATAATTTTTGCTATTATTCTCCGAGGAGAATAGAACTGCAAGGGAATAGAACTACAATCCTAGATGCAGATACAAGTCTTTACAGATAGTATTTTACACCGTCAAAGTGCTTGGAAACCCTGGTACAGCAAAGCCTTTCCACCTTGGATTTAGGGAGAGATTTTCCCCATCCTCTATTTCTCCCCACTACAGCCTATATATACCTGGTTTGCAACTCTTGGCCATGTTTGTACTTTTCTGCCTGCCACATTCAGTAAGTTTCCAAGCAGCTGATTCTTAGCATGCAGTAATTCTTGTTAGCCTGCTAAGAAGCTGACAGAATAAACCTTGCTGTTTGTTTAATTCCCTTCACTGAGCATTAGGAATTACTCCTGAAAGAACTCGGGCTTCCAGGTGTTCTTTCTTACATGCAAATATTTCATACCAGAAGTAGTTCCCTCTTATTTCCAAAATGCTGTGTTGAACAATCTTTAAAGCTTAAGATAGTGCTCATGGGCATTCATAAGGGTCTGATTTGCCACAGACAAATGAATGTAGGAAGTGGTAGTGAAAAGGCTACAATGTTTTTTGTTGTTGGCAGTGGCAGCTGGTCGGTGGGTTGGTGGGGCTTGGTGTCATTTCTGCATTTCAGTGAATATAGGTATCATTTGTTACATTTAAAAATACCACGAATCCACTCCTCTTGCTGAAGATCTTTACCCATTTTATACATATAAAATGCAAACAAATCTTCAGCACAGAGAATAGATTAATTAATACACATCTGCTCATGCTCTATAGATTCTTGCTAAGGAAATATCATGGCAAAGATGTTAACTGACTTTGAAAGCTTAGTTGTAAACCTATGTTCCTAAGGGATGCTTTGCATCTTACTGAGCCAGAAAGATTGCTGTTGAATTCTCAGACAGCACTGTTTACACCCAAAATGACAGTTCAGGACACAGGCAGAATTAAGGAGTTAAACTGGGATACATTTTCATTGGACTATCAGTTACAATAATCCGTGTATTTTTGCCTGTGCATACAAAATTCTTAAAATACATTTTTTATTTGCAACACAATCACACTAGATTGTCTGACAGAAGACTCAATTCAAAGGTTTTTAAAATCACAACAAGAATCAGAGCTAGTTTTAACAATCCATCGCCTGCATATACCCATACACATAGTTTTGCCTGGAAAGACTGTAATGATGTATTCACAGGTATGCTGAAGGAAGTCAAACTCAGGACCCTTGCAAAGATCTTGCCAACTAACCTCAGAATTCCAATCCCTGAATTTCAGATTCTGCTCTGGGAAGAAGGCGACAGATGGCCCTGAGATAACCAATGCTGTATTATTCAAGGATTTATCAAGCAGAATACTTGGGAACATGTATGCTAGACATCTACTACCCAACACAGACTACAAAACATGTAAACATACAATTTATCCTGAACTAGGTGAATATCTCACTTGGTTTTGGTGGAGTATCATTCCAGGAAGTATTTTAAGCTAGGACCAAGCCACTCCCATTTGCAGACAGGCTGGGTGAGTTGGAGCTGTTCAGTCTGGAAAAAGGGAGACATTAGAGCACTTCCTGTATCTAAATGGGGTCTACAAGAGAGCTGGGGAGAGACTTACTAGTAGGACATGTAGTGACAGGACAAGGGACAATGGTTTTAAACTGAAAAAGGATAGATTTAGATCACATATTAGGAAGAAGTTCATCACTGTGAGGGTGGTGAGGCACTGGAACAAGGTTGTCCAGAGAAGCTGTGGATGGCCCATCCCTGGAAGAGTTCAAGGCTGGGTTGGGTGGGGCTTTGGGCAACCTGGTCTGGTGGAAGGTGTCCCTGTCCATGGCAAGGGGTTTGGAACAAGATGAGCTTTAAGGTCCCTTCCAACCCAGGACATTCTGTGATTCTATGAAATACCCTGAAAAACTGCTGGGTTTGTGCAGTAGTAAACATAAGCACAGTTGCAGTCAACAGGGCTTTTCATTTTCATTTTCATTTTGAGAGGGAAATAAAATTTTCTCCACAAACCTTTTTGGCTGAGAGTTCTCTCAGGGCATAGTCTTTACTAAAATATTCCTCCCACTGTCTCTGAGAAGAGCTAGATTCCTGGCAGCTTGGCCTCTAAGCATCTGTAAAGAAGAATGGGAAAGCAGAGCTGTAGTTAACTCCTCATACACTGGCAGCCAGGCAACTCCCTGCAGCAAAAATCTGGTAGCAACCTGGTACTTGAAGCACCAGGTTTGCAAGCCAACTGAGCCAGGATTCTGCAAGTTAATGATGTGTCATGTTCTTGTTCACCTTTCCAAAGGTTTCTCTTCTGGGTAAAAAGATGATAAGACAGTGCAGGAAATAATCCTCTGTGACTAAATGAAAAGAACTGTAAATGTGACTTTCAGTAAAATCTGCTCCAGAATGTTGCTTCTGCATTCTGAATAATGATCATGAATGATAATGAGCCTTCTTCCAAGCTAGAGATATGCGAGAGGTGTTGCAGAATCAAGGCTTCAGTGCATATTGAGGGCCCTGATTAAGGAGTGGGAATAACTTGGCATAAAATTACTATTCACAACATTCTCCGTGGACACCATGGACTTCAACAAATTGAATCTGGAGCCAGCAGCTTGTAATCTGGCACCATCCCTGTGTGCCTTTAAATGCACTCTGAAAACCAGGGGCTCCAGAAGCTGACTCAGAGCAGCTCCGACAGCTGTGTAGGAAGCAGTATGTGCAGAAAGTGGGGAAGGGCAATCTCCAGCCCTCTCAAACACAGTTATTTCATACTGCCACTCACAGCTCCCGCTTTCATTTTTTGTCTCCAAATACCCTTGTCCAGCAGGCCTGTATGTTCCAGTGATTTCATCTATTGATGCAATTCCACTACCTTCAAGTGTAACTTAAAGCAAATGTTACCATTTCAGTTTGGGAAATGGTGGCTGGTCACCAGAGACACTGCTCATTCTTTTCCAAATCAGAAGAGTTATATTTAAAAGGCAAAAGAAAACTCAGTGCCTAAAAGTACTTCTCATTTATTTGAGAGAATGAAAGTTTCATTTTGTGTAGCTGACTCAGATTTCACCAATGTTTCTTTTACAAGTGATACATGAAGATGCAGTCTGAAAATCTTACAGTGCAGTCAATATGAAAATCCCATCATTGCAAGACTACACCTATTATTTATGGAGGTCTTGGTGTCATGAATTTTGACTGCCAACAGATTTTTTTATAGCACATTTTCAAACAGCATTTCTAAGCCTAAGCAACCTTGGGGAAAACATTTTAAACCTCAGAAAAAACATTTTTACATTAACTAGAACTTGCATAAATTTTCCTTAACAAATTCTGAAATATTGATGAAACTCTAAAGTAGACTCTTTTACCCTGGAAACTGGCAGCACGGCTTGAGTTGCCAATAAACAGTACACAGGACATGCTGGTCAGTGTCAGTTTCTAAAAATGGGTGCAGAAGAAAATGACAGCTGTTGGAGGGCAGGCAGGAACAGAGGAACACACCAGTACAGAAGCTTGGCCCCAGTGATCTCTCAATAGGAGCTGTGGGCCTTGAAGTGAAGTGAGAATTAACCAGGTAAGGAATGCAAGGATTTCCTTTACCGCAATCACTGAAGGAGCTGCCAGTTTAAAGGACACGTGCCTAAAGACTGCTATGTTGTCTTTATAATGGATTTTGTAACATAAAGAAATGAAATGAGAAGTCTACAACAACTACAAGAAGGATGAAAGTATATTACACTGATACCCTATAATTTCTAGATAAGCTGTATGCAGAACTGAATCTAAAGTGTACAGGAAAGGATTCTCTGAGCGCAGCTCAGCAGGTAAGGATTATACAATATTCTGAGCCAGAAAAGACCAACAAGGATCATTGAGTCCAACTCTTAAGTGAATGGCCCATATTCTCTCTCTACTAAAGATCATTTCACCAAAAGCAAAAAAAGATGAGAAGCACACAAGTTAGAGCCTGTGTTGACAGAGGAAAGGAAAAATAAAAGAGACAGAAGGAAAAGCAGTTTCTACTGAACAGGCTACCACGGTCTTAGTCTTTTATGTTCACATAAAGCTATAATCATTTGGCTTTTGATTTATGGTTTATACACAAGAAGATTAAAAGTCCAGCTCATGAAGGCATTTTACAAACATTTACGGTGATCTTACTGTATTTATACCCTACCACAGCTGCTGGAACTTGAGTGTGCGCTTAAAATACTAAAAATACTTATTTGCTTAATAGGTATCCAAAACTATACAGTAAAAAGAAATGTGCTGATGTGCAAAAAACTTAGCTATACGCGAACGGCTACCAGGCACCCCCACGTGTTAGCAGTTCCGAACGGGGGAGGGGGGAATCCTATATGGAAACGGGACAGCGCAAGTCAGGCCCTAACGCAGCCCCGCGGCGCACACACAGTCCCAGCTCTCCCTTCTCCGGGCCAGGCTTCAGCCCGAGCCGTTTAACCCTCCCGGAGCAGCAGCATCAGCTTCTCCGCGCGCGCGCCCAGCCCTGCAAGCGCGGCGCGCGCTGGCCTCAGAATATTGTATAATCCTTANGCCCTCCCCTCCGGCTGCAGGTGCCGCTGCCCGCACCGCCTGCCCTGGCTTGGCCCCTGCCCCGCGCCCTCTGCCCTTTAGCCGTGTCCTCCCCTGCCCCCGGTGCTTTCCAGGTAGGGACCCCGCGGCAGGAATTCCTCCTCCGCACGGGTCGGCTCTCGCTCGCTGTCCCGGGCGCCGACTCCACTAATTCGCCAACCCCCTTTTCTGGCTGGTTCGCGTGGTTTTTAAGGTCTTACGGAGGAAAATGCAGACGATGAGTTGAGTTCAGGAGTGCAGGCAGTTAGTTGAGCGCTAAACCTGGGAGTGAGCGGTGGCTCCTCCCACGGGGGATTTTGGGAAGGGGGAACTCTGCCCGTGGCTAACACCCTGAGTTACCGGAGAGAGTTCGCGTTGGGTTGCTCCGTGCATTCGCACCGCTCTTGGACAGTGTTGGAACGACGTTTTGCTGCTCTCCAGGAGTTGCCTCGGAAACTTCCTCCTGCACAGTGCTGTGTGGAAACACTCTCAAGTGAATGAAAACTCTGGATGCTGGCCTTGCTGAAACAGAAAATAGACAGTGAAGGTTTTATCCACTGTGCTGTAGCTAAAATCTGAGAAGGCTCAGTTCATTAGGTTGCAAAAATGAAGGAAAGTTCATTGAAGCCTTCTACGTCTTTGATCATCAGAATGCATTTCTGTATATTTTTAAAATTACGAGAAGTACGTGCTGGGGAGAAAATGCAAAACTTCTTATTAAGGCATTTGTCAGATACTTGAAAAATAAGGGAGAGCGATTACCTTAACGTGACCTAGCATGTTAATTTTGTTTCCACTGGCTTTAAAGTCTTAAGGCTTTTGAAGCTGCATCATATGATGGTGGCAAAAAAAAAAAAAAGATTTGATTTGCAGCAGATATCCAAAATCTGAATAAGATATAGCAAACTTTAAAATATTCTCAGGTACTAAGTGTTGGTTTTTTTCAGTTTGAATGTTATGGCATTTTACAATCGTGTCTCTAGTATTTAAAGACAGTCACTTTTTCCTGCTTTTTGAGTGGCAGATGTACATGAATCATAAATCTGGCTCTTAGCAGAAATGTTATTGACTAGAAATAAGCTTAGGAAGGGGAGTAACAAGGGCAGGGTTGTTTATTTGGTTTTAACATGTTTGTTGCAGTAGTTTTGGGTGTTACAACAACAGCAGGGGTGTTCTCGCTGCTTCTTTTGAGCTTTCCTTTATGAAGGTGTGTCCTGTCTTGGTCCACTACTTTAATTTAAAGGATTTATAACCTGGATAATTTGTTTGAAATCATGATTCAGTTTCTGCTGTTCCCATGCTGTTTTGGCAATACGTTTTCCTCAGAACTGACTTTTAGAAACCACACTTGAGACTTTGTAAAGGCCCTTGGTAAATACTGCACATAGGTGGCAGACTTCAGAAAGTTTGGGTCCTGGTCCAGCAAACAGTTAAACATACGTGTGTTACGCAGGGAACAATTCCAGCTCAAATCAGCAAAATGTCCAAGTTTGCATTCTTTACTGAGCTGGGACTTTAATATTAAAGTTTTTAACTCTGCATTATTAAGTCTTGCAGTTTTGTGAGTGTGGTTTTACAGCTTTTTATTTGTAACACAGAGAAATTTTGCATGGCATCAGCAACTTAGACGTTTGGAAATTTGAAGCCATAAACCAGCAGAGGGATTTCTTCAGTTATGCAGGGTTTTATAGAAGTTTGAATTGCCTTATTGCCTTAAGTTCTTAAAGGAAAATCCCTTCAGTCGTTATGCTTATGATTCAGATGTGAAGTCTTTCCTTGGAGACCTGCTACAGAAAAGAAATTGTGGGCAAAATACACTTTTATGAGCTGTAGTGTCCCAAGTAGCCAGTTTGCAGCAAGTCAAGCAACACTCCTTTTGCTTGTTTTTCTCCCTTAGGTTTGTGATGTTAGGTTTGTCCTGAATGTAGCTGTGTACATGGGATAGTTTCTTTTGATCTGTTAATGCTCCCCCTCCTTTTTCCTCTTAAACCTTCCTTGCTCCTGAAACCAAAAAACGTTTTAGAAAGAGTTTGGATCGTTTTATAAAACTATTTGTTCTAATCACACATGTCTTGGGAAGATAAAGCTTTGCTTTATTTTTTTAAAGTCGATATGGAATTTAGCAATAGTTTTGATGCTGCCAGTGCAGTATCATCTACAGAATCATGAGCCAGAATTCCCAGGGATGGGCTGGAAAAGGAAAGTACAGTCATTGTAATGATGCCTACGGGTGCTCAGCATACACTTTTGTAATTAGAATAAGTTTTTTCTTTTACAGACCTCTTCAAATAAATGTTAAATCTGAGGTATTTCAAACCTGTATTGGGAGAAAATTGAATCTTTTTAGATGAGAAAGCAATTTGGTATTATGCTGCTATAAAATATTTCATTTTGTTTATAGGTATTGTCTTGTTTCATCGCTTTTAATAGAAAATATTCTAAGATAAGTATAAACAGTATTTTAAAACTCCCCAGTAGGTTTGTCAGACTGGCCTAAAACACTTGCATCTATTTTACTGGAGGGAGAAATGTTCCAGAAGAAAAGTAGAAATTACCTGTCACTTTAGAAATTACCTTCATAGGTAGAGAGTGTTGTGGGATTTTTCTTTTTCTCTAGGGGCTGTTTTGTTTGCCACTGGAATGGCCAGCTCAGATGATGAGACACACTTTCAGAGTTGTATTGTTTCAAAGCCTTTAGACAGGTAATCTTAAAAATATGTATTTCTGCAGTTAATTGTACTGGTGCTTTGAATTACCAGAATTCTGCGCTTTGGGTGTGTATTTCTTCTCCTAGCAGTGATACAGCACATCTCTTACTAGTGGGCAACAGTCCCAAGTAGTACCTCAGGAGCAGGAGCTCTTCCCATCAGAGGTGGTGTTGGGGGAGTGAGATTGAGAAGAGGAATGGCAAGATTGTGTGTTGTGATTAACATTCAGCTTATCTTTGTGTGTGATGATATCCTGTTTAGATGAAAGCTTAGCAAAACATAAATGATGGCAGGACACTCAAAATAATTTAGTAATTTGTTCTGCCGTTAATTTAGGTTTCCTAAACCATTGTTATTCACGACAGTATCCATCTGACTATATATATTATATATATATATAATATATATATATAATTTAACAACTGAATAAGAAATACTGAAGACAGTGATGATATTTAAAGCAAAAAAAAAAAAGATTGTTTAATCACCCCCCCAATCTTCTTTTCATTTTAAAATTTACCTAAAGTTTGCATAATAAAAGAATTTTGAAGACTCTTCAGCCAAAATAATGTGCTGGAACACAGCAAGATTTTGTCATTTCATGGACAATTCCAAGAGTATTGCTTTTTAAGAAATCTGGCAAAGGGAGTGTTATTTTAATTGTCTTAAGAAGTGATAATTTTGTCCCAGTAGAAAATTGTTTCAAGAGACTGCAATAGAACATGGCAGTTATCTTCATTTTTGAAAAAGAGATGCAGCTTGACCTTGGAACCTGATCTGACTCTCTCCAGTAGATGTATGCATGCTTGTCTTTGTCACTTTTGGTTGAAGCAGCATGTAAGCAATACAGGTGAAAAGTGATGAATAGAAAACAGGACTCATTGGACCATCAAGTTGTAAAGCAAATAGAATTTTTTTTTCCTGTGTACCAAACATATCAACTACAGCTGGAAAGAATAAAAATTTCCTCATGCTTCTTTCCCTCTCAAGAGAAGAATTGCAAAGTGGTCCAGAAATCTTTCAGCCATGGGCTAGCAATAGAGGGATCTTTGTAGGGCTGAGAGTTACAAAGGTGGACATGAGAAGACATTTTTAAGAAGACCTCCCAGTGTGTAGTGTCAGCCTTCAAATACAGGGTGTAAAATAGGTGTTAACTCTGGTTATTTTCTTTCCTTAAACCCTTGAGAAAGAGCTTGGGTTTGACTGAAAACCAGTTGTTGTGTTCAAGTTGAGCTTTTGTGGAAATGTTGCAGGGAGGTCTAGTAACCTTGCTGATAGGTAAAATTTTAGTGTTACTAAATCTGAGGATCAGTTCAAGCCTCACACTTTGGCTGGTTTTGAGTCACATAGTGTATGCTTCAGAGTGACATAAATAGGTGGAATTGAAAACAGCTGAAAGAAATTTTCTTGTCGTATTAAGTTGCCTTTGCTCCCCAAGGGAAAATGTGCTTCAAAGTTTTAGAAAGGTTTAGTTTTACTACAGCCTTAATAAATATTTATAAGTGAAAGGAGAGTTTTCTCTCTCAGATTTGCACTTGTTTTTTTGTATCCCTCATGATTCATTGTTATTTCCTCTTCTGTAGTCCTCCATCCTCCACCTTTTGAATTCAACATCCTTTGCAACTGTGATCATCTTGGATGAGTTTTACCTTAAAAGTGAGAATCTTTAATTCAGATGAAGAATGGATGTTTGTGAGGAATTTTTGTTTACCTCTTACTATAATCTCAGCAGGGCACATTATGAAGTAGTTAAAACTTCCTCTTAAGTGAAGTTACAATCTTGAGAAATAAACAATCTATAACAGATGAAAAAGCTGTAGTAGTTCCATGAAAAATGAGCTGTTTGATTTTTTTTTTCTATATTAAGGAACTGTTCCTAGTTTATGGAGTGGAACATTTTAGTCTTTAATTCTTAACAAATTGACCTTTTTTATCTGTAGACTTGAATTTTTGGTCTTAGAATATACTTCCATCAAAAGCAACTCCTAAATATAGAGCCTATTGACAGTCTTCACATGAACTTTTCTATTTCAATCTTTCACATCTTCTGTGTGCCAGCTTAGTATCACATTTCTTTTTCCATATTCATTGCTTTCTGGTTTAGGCAGTAGTTTTGCAGGTGCTGAATTTAATGCTAGTTGCTGTAGGAGATACAAATTGAATTAATTATTCCTGCAGGCTATCTGAGCAAAAGATGATTACTTCAATCTATGGATA